TGGACCTCTGCACAGCAACTCTGTCTCACTCAGATGGAGACTCAGAAGAGCTCCAGGAGGAATTTCAAGAACAGAAATGTCTCACAAAGCTGTTCAGAAGAGAGGTAACGATCTAATGTGGTGTTTCATGAGTAAAGAATTTAACGTAGAATTGGTTTGGTTGCAGTCTGGGTTATTGCCTATTGATATGGCTCCACAGACTGAATATAAAAGACTGGGTCTGAACAATGAAGCCCATGTGGGACTTAAACCTGGATTGCTTTTAATGGTTTATAAAAGAAGTCCAGTTGGTCTATGGGACAACGTCCAAATGCTCCTTTGATTTGTGACCTCGATAAACACTTTTATTGTGGGTTTATAGTCTCAGCCGCTAATCTCAGTAAATATATCATGTGGTTGGCACATACATGCAGTGGTTTAGGTAAACTTTTAAAGCAAGCTGATCTCTAACCAGAAAACAATGGCTGATGTCACCTTGACCGTGTTTTTTAATGCACAAGCTCTGTTTGAAAAAAAGCCTCAGGCAGTTTCAGCTTTTTTTTTCCTAAAAGAGGTAAGCGCTCTCTGCCTTGAATCTCTACATGAGAGCCGGAGAGTGTGGAGTTGGCATGACTCGTAGATACAAAGCAGCTACATTAATAGAAAATACACAAGGTTGAAATGAACCAGTAATTATCCTTAACACAGTCCTTCACACTTCTTCTCTACCTGCTACATAAAGGTCGCTGTGGAGGGTCTTCAAATGTGTCCCTCAGTCTTCCAACCTAAAGCAGAGCAGGTAATGTGTATGTGTTAGTCCCTCCTCTCCATTGGGCAGCCACCAGTGCAGCACCTGGGGAGCAGTGTGTAGGGACGGTACCTTGCTCAGGGGTACCTCAGGGTAGGCGCTCAATGGATTTGAACCCCCAACCTTCCAATCATGGGGCAACCACTCTACCTACTGAGCTCTCCCTGCCCTAAGGTTTGATGGACCTTCCTCACACACCTGTCCAACAAGCTGCTCAGCTCTTACAAACTCTCACACAAGCAAGCGCTCAAAACGGATGCTTTTCATCAAGTTGCAGCTGACCACCACAGCTTGGTGGTAAATACTGCTCTTGAGTTCCTCTTTCTGGATGACTCACTTGTGGAAGTCACACCCTCACATCCTCAGGCCACAAAGAAGAGCTCCAGTTTGAC